GGCAGTCATTATAATGTTAATGATGAACACAGTAAACAGTTTCACCAGGACACAAGGAAACCAGCACTTACATTAACTACTCTACCCATGCAAATCAGTGACAAAATAATGTCCACAGTGTAAGTGGAGATATTAGTTTTCCTAAAATGTTTTAAAGTAAGGTTTTTACAAATGGATGTGAAAGAATGCATGTGTTTTGTGTTTGATTGGCAGACATTTTTACTTCTATCCCAATTCAAAACAAACATTTTGTCCTTCTATTATGGATCCGTTCTTTCCCTCAAAAACTATATATTTCACATTCTTTCAGCACTCTGCCCTAGATGCCCTCTCACTGCAGTCAGGAATTTCACAGAAGAGCTTCAGGTCTAAACCTAGCCCAGGACATAGACAGTCTCGGACTGCTTCACATACAAATGTGCAAGCACATCAAACTTGTCTACCATGCATTGTTTGTTATATTTTTGCCATTATGAATCTGCAATACACATCCAGTGAACAATTATTGACATCTTTTCATATTTACATTTCACAGTGCAACAAAATAAGAGTAGTGTGGGTTGCATGTCTTAGCAATTCGAATGATGCTGACAAGAGGACCTCTAGTGGATATATGGGTAACTGCATCTCAATCAAGTTTTTGGTATGGTAAACATGTGGGCTATGCATTAGTCTTAAAAGAAATAGCTCACTCAAAAATGAAAATTTGCTGGAAATTGAATCACTCTTAGGCCATGATATAGATGAGTTTGTTTCCTCATTTAAACATATTTTGACAAATTTATTATAACATCACTTGCTCACCAATGGATCTTCTGCAGTGAATGGGTGCCGTGAGAATGAGAGTCCGAACAGCTGATAAAAACATCACAATAATCCACATTCACACAACTCCAGTCCAAGTTATGTATTGTGAATCGAAAAGCTGTGTTTGTAATAAAGAAATCTATTATGAAGGCGTTTCAACATTTTTAACCATTGCTTCTGGCCAAAATACCAGCTATAAATGAGCAATATCACTCTCGTACTCGAGCGATACCGGCTCTATATCAGCATGGCTGTGATTAGGCCAGAGGAAGCTATCACAGCCGCTGATATAGAGCCGGTATCGCTCGAGTACGAGAGTGATATTGCGTTTATACAACAGTTCGTGTAATTAAACATGTGTGTAATTAAACAAGAAACAGCGGAGTGCCTAATAAAACCCTCTTTTGTGCGGAACTACTTCCTTCCGCCACGGATTCAAAGCTCAAGTTGACAGTTAAACATACGTCACTTTTAGAATTCGTATCAAGGGCATGTGCTGCTTCAGTTAATCGTCACAGCAGGTAATGAAATGCACCAGATACAATACACTGTCATCTGGGACAATGTGTCATTCCACCGCTCTGCTTTGGTCCAGAACTGGTTTCAACACCATCCATTAGGCCACGGCTTCCCCACGGCTTTAATACATAATAAAGCTCCTCTGTTAGTCCTCAAACTGTTTTGGACTGTTTTTACTTGTAAACAGTGCTTGATTTCTCTCCTGATTCAGACTAGATGACTTTTTCACTGGACAAAGCAATATTATGGATAGAGGACTCATGTTTTAGAAGAGTTTGAAGTTAAAAACATATTCATGATGGAATTGTTTCTTGCAAACACACAGCTTTTCGTTTCACAAGATGTTAATTGATGGACTGGAGTCATGTGGATTACTTGTGGATTGATGATTCTTTATCGGCTGTTTGGACTCTCATTTTGACGGCACCCATTCACTGCAAACAATTCAATTGGTGAGAAAGTGATGTAATGCTAAATTTCTTCAGATCTGTTCTGATGAAGAAAAACTCATCTACATCTTGGACAGCCTGAGGGTCAGTAAATTAAGCAAATTTAAATTTTTTGGGGGTAAATAATTCCTGTAAAGACGCCCTTTAAGGACGATGTAAGTGCTAAAATGCTAACTCGTTCTGGGTTTTGGCCTACAAAAATACGTCATCCACACAGCAAGAGCCGAGGTTACAAGCATGGTAGTATCTCCCACCTTCTATGTCTCAGGGCGTTATAAATTTGATCCCTAAACATCAATAGGATCTTGCTCAACTTAAAAATTGGGCGAACAATAAGTCTGTTAAATAACGATTACAATATATTAGCCATGATTTTTGCTAAAAGAATTAAATGTGTTTTAGATTATATTATTGATGACTATCAGTCAGGTTTCATAAAAGACGGACTTATTAAAAAAAAAATATTAGACTTGTTCTTGATATCTTGGATTACTCAGATTGAATCCCTGATGATAGTTTCTTGATTTTTATAAAGCTTTTGATTCTGTTGAGTTTCCTTTTATTTTTAAGTCCTTGAATGTTTTTGGTTTCGGTCCCAATTTTATCAATGCAATTCAAACTTTGTATAGTAATGCCCATGCTTCAATCAAATTACAACTTGGCACTACTCACAGAGTAGTTTAATATAGGTAGAGACATCCATCAAGGTTGCCCAATATCGCCTTATCTTTTTCTACTTCCTATGCAATTATTAGCCATTCACATTCAAAATAGTCATTTGGAAGATATACCTGTGGCAAACCGATCAATATTAGCCTAATAAGCCAATTGGCTGATGACACAACTTTGTTTTTGAAAAATAAAGATCAAGTTTTCTTAGCCTTAAATATAATTAATCTATTTTCATATGCTTCTGGTTTAGTTCTTAATATTCATAAGTGTGAACTTTTACCTATAAAACATTCCACTGATATTAAAATTTGTGACATTCCAGTCAAGTCTGAAGTTAAAAATGTAGGTATAATTATATGTAAAGATCAGGGGGAAAAGATCAAAGCTTAACTTCGAGCCTCTTATTCTTTCTATTCAGCGCAATTTAAATTCTTGGTTACAACGTGATCTGTCTATAACAGGTAGAGTGTTGCTTTCCAAACCAGATGGGTTATCTGCACTGGACATTTCTTTGGAGATTTGTAGATCACTGGACAAAATTATAGTAGACTTTGTTTGGAACTCTAAAAATCACTTAATTAAAAAAAGTGTTATGATAGCTGATCGGGCAACGGGTGGATTTGAGTTAGTGGACTTTTCCACTCTTAAAAACCCTTTCAAAGTTAAATGGATAAAATCATTTTTAAACAACCCCATGTCCTTTTGGAATATTATTCCAAAGTATATTTTCAGTTCTGTTGGAGGTTTACAATTTTTGTTGCGCTGCAATTTTGCACGCAATGGGATTTATCTCTGTTCCCCGGATGATGTCGTTGCTATGACGACAACCGTCCTCCCGCAAGGGCAGCAGGGCTGACGGGGGCCGCTGGGAATCTGCTGTGCTGTACAGAGAATAGGGGTCACACTCACAATGATCCAAAAATAAAATTAATACTTAATTCAAAAAAAAAAATATTGATGGTTTTGGATTCCCTAATATTTAATCATTTAAAAATAATTAATTTATTATTTATTGTACACATACATGTTTTTACATTGTACTTATATTTACAAAATACTAATTGGTTAGGAGTTAGGACAAAGTGGGAGCAAGGCTTTTCTCTCCAGCTTTTGTCTGTCATGTCGTACTCTGCCTATTGTACTGCTGTGTACTGAAAGAGTCATTGTTGTGACCAGAACAATTGATGGTGAAGTCACTGCTGGTTTTTGGCATTGGCAGGAATGACATTGCTTCATGTATGACTATGCCATATTATGCGTTAAATTATATGTTGTGTAGTTGTGAGTGGGGACACTGTAAATGATACAGTATATCTTCTTTTTAAAATGATGGCAACAGAATGCAAGAAATGTTATTAAAGGATTAGTTCACTTCCAGAATAAAACATTTCCTGATAATTTACTCACCCTCATGTCATCCAAGATGTTCATGTCTTTCTTTCTTCAGTTGCAAATAAATTAAGGTTTTTGAGGAAAACATTCCAAGATTTTTCTCCATATTATGGACTTCAGTGGTGGCCGACGGGTTGAAGGTCTAAATTGCAGATTCAATGCAGCTTCAAAGGGCTCTACACGATCCCAGCCGAGGAATAAGGGTCTTATCTAGTGAAACGATCGGTCATTTTCTAAAAAAAAAACTACTACAAATGCTCGTCTTGCACTAGCTCGACAAAATCGTCCTACATCGCTGACCCAGTGTTTAAAAAGTGAACATGTAAAGACGATCAAACTCCCTTTACAAAATAAGGTAAAACAGCGATGTAGGATGATTTTGAAGTTGGAGGAGAAAATGAGATGGGAGTTTTTCGACATACCCTAACTGTCATGAACCAGAGTGCACAGAGTATGCATGCGCATCGCAGCGCTAGACAAGACGAGCGTTTGAGGTTAAAACGTGTATAAATTGTACATTTCTTTCGAAAATAACCGATCGTTTCGCTAGATAAAACCCCTATTCCTCGGCTGGGATCTTGTAGAGCCCTTTGAAGCTGCATTGAATCTGCAATTTGAACCTTCAACCCGTTGGCCACCATTGAAGTCCATTATATGGAGAAAAATCCTGGAATGTTTTCCTCAAAAACCTTAATGTCTTTGCGACTGAAGACAGAAAGACATGAACATCTTGGAAGACATGAGGGTGAGTACATGATCAGGAAACAGTTATTCTGGAAGTGAACTAATCCTTTAATTAAATACAGTTATGTTTAGAAGTCACCTTGTAATTGTAACTCTTGAATGCTCTATGAAATTTATTCCCTCTTTTTACTTAATTTTTTCCAATATTAGGTGCTTCATAGCTCAGGATAAAAGCAGGTGGAACTACCTTTCAAAAATGTGATACATCACATAACCCAGATTTGATTCTAAAAAGCCCCATTTAATATATTTTGCCTAAAAATATTCATAGCAAGAAAGCAGGTGACATTCGGTATTATGTTAACAACATGACAAAATATGCATGTTGTACATACAGTAGAACTCATACATAATACATTATGTACTTTAATGTATGTCACTCAGTTGGAAGCAGTTGTATTCATGACCTTTCTATAGATGAAGTAAGTACAATAAGTAGTTAAGTAGAAAATGGTTTAGTCATTTATCAGAAAGATTCATTTAGTGCATTGATCCACACAGTTCAACGGAACACATGCATCAGACATCACTGGCTATTACCTCACCATTGCTTCTTGCTACAGGCTTTTAACTTAGTGTAGACTTAGTGTATTAAAAATTTCAAAGATTTTGTGTCTTATCTTTGTATTAGATTTTTTTTTTCTTTGCTTAAATAAACAATGTATTAGTATGGACAAATATAAAGAAATTTTCTTTTGATATAGATTGTGGTAATGCTTTACCTATAGATTACCTTGTAAACCCGATCTTTTTATAATTATCCCTTGTGAAAAGGAAGTGCACTTGATTGTATTGACTGTGCACTTGTAGTGTACTTGCAGATCATAATAATAAATGGGCACTTAAATGTACTTTAAAGAGAGTATGTTTTCAAGATCATGTTTTTAGCACACTTACTGAAAGTACACTTTGAAATAGTTCACTTTGTAATAATGTCAAATTAAAAGTTTTAATTTAAAAGTAAATTTAAATGATGTTTTAATAATCTTTTATGCGTGGATGCAACAAATGCCTCGTTTATAATGGGTTTTAATGTTTTTGTCTCGTCGCTCCGGCCAGACACAGGGCATCACAATATGGCAAGGGGCGGTACATTTCCGTCACAAGATATGACCCCTTTAAAGATGTAAATTAATTTTCATGTGTTGACTAACATACTAATGCACATGCATGATTGTCATGAATCTGGCCTCTGTGGTTCCCCCCAATCGGCATCAGAGGGCACCCTCACCTGAGTACTAACTCTTCCCCCGGATTTCATTTCCCATAACCCTGTACCTGGCGCTGATTACAAGCGCACCTGTTCCTCATTCCCGGGACTATTTAAGCCATACAGACAGAGACACACAGACACAGACAGAGACACAGAGACAGAGGCAGACACAGACACAGACACACACACACAGACACACACACACACACACACACAGAGACACACACTCTCTCTCTCTCATTACGAAGTCTTGTTTTGCCCCGGCTGACATTACTGAGCATTTCCCTGTACTACTCTATTGGATATGTGTTTGACCTTGGACTGTTACCTGTTTCACGATTGCTTGAAGAAGGCGTAACTTTTATTCTCACTGTAGTATTGTTGTTGCCGCCCTCTGTCTGTTCTCTGACTCTGCTTTGGTCTCGTCTCTGATAACCCTGTCTACTGGTGATTTACCCTGCCTGTATTGATACACTTCCTTTTTAATAAAGCTGCACATGGATCCTCACTCGTTGACCCCTCATTATAATTATGTTATTATGTTATAATGTTATTTGATAGTACATTTAAAATGAACCTTCATGTCTACGTCACGATGTGGGAAGATTTGCATAACGCCGTCCAAATGTTCACGCAAAGAAAGAAGGCGTAACTTTTATTCTCACTGTAGTATTGTTGTTGCCGCCCTCTGTCTGTTCTCTGACTCTGCTTTGGTCTCGTCTCTGATAACCCTGTCTACTGGTGATTTACCCTGCCTGTATTGCTACTCTATCTTTTTAATAAAGCTGCACATGGATCCTCACTCGTTGACCCCTCATTATAATGATGTTATTATGTTATAATGTTATTTGATAGTACATTTAAAATTAATATATTTAATAAATATAATATTAATTAATACAGTATATATGTATATTAATATATACTAAATACAACTTCATCAGTACAAATGTGTATTTACACATATATTTAAATGCATGACAGTCAAGTTTCCATAAAAATGACATTAAACAACAGAACACTTTAACTATATTTCAAAGACAATAGAAATAATTGTGAAGTTACATGTGAAGATATGCTTAAGTTCTGATTAATTGGGTTAAAAACACACTCAAGTTCAACCAATATGATGTAATATATATTTACTATAAACATTTAAATGTAATTGTAAATAACATGTAATTAAGTGTCTGAAAACATTACATTCAGTTCACACTTGAGTATAAAGTCTTTCTGAAAGTATGCTAAAGTGTGCTTATTTTTCTCTTGGGATTTCAATTATGGTCTACAATACAGACAACACAGAGTTAAACTTAATGAAATAAGAAAGACAATGTCTTGGATACAGATGAAATCAACCAGAAAAACAAACCCACATGGTATCAGTGGTGTACTGTAGGTCTTAAAATAAAATGGAAACCAGGTCATTTTTTCCATATTGAAGTACACTGTATTGTTTGTGTTTGAATGGCAGGTTTTCGGTGAAGACACTGCTAGAGAAGTACACAGCAGAGCCCATCGATGACTCGTCTGAGGAGTTCATTAACTTTGCTGCTATTCTGGAACACATCCTCAGCCACCGCTTTAAAGGTAAGAACGCGTATCACTAGCATACTTACACTAGCAGTAGACTTTTACTCTATAAGAACATTAAGGACATACAGTATTTAAGCCAGTGATGCAAATGCAGGTGATCTCTCACATCATGTCTTATGCAGGCTCTGGCAGCTGGTTTGATGGTCAGCGCAGTTTTTGGGACTTTATCCGTCTGGCCTGCAGTAAAGTGCCCAATAACTGCATAAGCAGCATTGAGAACATGGAGAACATCAACTCCTCACGAGCAAAGGTGGGCACACAAATCTTTACTTAAAATAGATAAAGTAGAATGAGTAATGCCATAATCATTAATGCTTGAATTGAATACACAAACAAAGAATCCACTGTACTTCTTTTGTGCCACAGTTATGGTAAGATAGAAGTACATTGGAGTACATTAAGTAAGGTGCGTACTTAATGGATAGTTCACTCAAAAATGAAAATTCTTTCTTCATTTACATGTTCTTCCAAATCTGTATGACTTTCTTTTTTTCTGTGCAACATAAAAGGAGATATTTTGAGAAATGTCTCAATGGGTTTTTTTTTTGTACATATATTTTAAGTCAGCATTGCAAAAACAGATTTGCATAACGCCGTCCAAATGTTCACGCAAAGAAAGAAGGTGTAACTTTTATTCTCACTGTAGTATTGTTGTTGCCGCCCTCTGTCTGTTCTCTGACTCTGCTTTGGTCTCGTCTCTGATAACCCTGTCTACTGGTGATTTACCCTGTCTGTATTGCTACTCTATCTTTTTAATAAAGCTGCACATGGATCCTCACTCGTTGACCCCTCATTATAATGATGTTATTATGTTATAATGTTATTTGATAGTACATTTAAAATTAATATATTTAATAAATATAATATTAATTAATACAGTATATATATATATTAATATATACTAAATACAACTTCATCAGTACAAATGTGTATTTACACATATATTTAAATGCATGACAGTCAAGTTTCCATAAAAATGACATTAAACAACAGAACACTTTAACTATATTTCAAAGACAATAGAAATAATTGTGAAGTTACATGTGAAGATATGCTTAAGTTCTGATTAATTGGGTTAAAAACACACTTAAGTTCAACCAATATGATGTAATATATATTTACTATAAACATTTAAATTGTGAAGATATGCTTAAGTTCTGATTAATTGGGTTAAAAACACACTCAAGTTCAACCAATATGATGTAATATATATTTACTATAAACATTTAAATGTAATTGTAAATAACATGTAATTAAGTGTCTGAAAACATTACATTCAGTTCACACTTGAGTATAAAGTCTTTCTGAAAGTATGCTAAAGTGTGCTTATTTTTCTCTTGGGATTTCAATTATGGTCTACAATACAGACAACACAGAGTTAAACTTAATGAAATAAGAAAGACAATGTCTTGGATACAGATGAAATCAACCAGAAAAACAAACCCACATGGTATCAGTGGTGTACTGTAGGTCTTAAAATAAAATGGAAACCAGGTCATTTTTTCCATATTGAAGTACACTGTATTGTTTGTGTTTGAATGGCAGGTTTTCGGTGAAGACACTGCTAGAGAAGTACACAGCAGAGCCCATCGATGACTCGTCTGAGGAGTTCATAAACTTTGCTGCTATTCTGGAACACATCCTCAGCCACCGCTTTAAAGGTAAGAACGCGTATCACTAGCATACTTACACTAGCAGTAGACTTTTACTCTATAAGAACATTAAGGACATACAGTATTTAAGCCAGTGATGCAAATGCAGGTGATCTCTCACATCATGTCTTATGCAGGCTCTGGCAGTTGGTTTGATGGTCAGCGTAGTTTTTGGGACTTCATCCGTCTGGCCTGCAGTAAAGTGCCCAATAACTGCATAAGCAGCATTGAGAACATGGAGAACATCAACTCCTCACGAGCAAAGGTGGGCACACAAATCTTTACTTAAAATAGATAAAGTAGAATGAGTAATGCCATAATCATTAATGCTTGAATTGAATACACAAACAAAGAATCCACTGTACTTCTTTTGTGCCACAGTTATGGTAAGATAGAAGTACATTGGAGTACATTAAGTAAGGTGCGTACTTAATGGATAGTTCACTCAAAAATGAAAATTCTTTCTTCATTTACATGTTCTTCCAAATCTGTATGACTTTCTTTTTTTCTGTGCAACATAAAAGGAGATATTTTGAGAAATGTCTCAATGGGTTTTTTTTTTGTACATATATTTTAAGTCAGCATTGCAAAAACATAGGTTACCAACTTTCTTCAAAATATCCTTTTTTAAAATATCTTTCATATCTTTTTTGTTTCACAGAAGAAAGAAAGTCATACAGGTTTAGAATGACATGAAGGTGAATAAATATGAATGAACTATTTTTGGATGAAATAATCTTTGTATTGAGATAAAAGAGCATGATGTACATACAAAAACATAATGTAACTTGCAGAACTTCAAACTATTCTCTTATTTATTAAAATAAATCTAAAAAACTTGCAAATTAGAGAAAAACAGGTAGTCATGAAATACTAAAATATGATTGTTTTGGCACCAACATTATAAGTGGACCTTGTAAAGTAATTAAATACCATGGTACGTGAAATATATGAACCCAAATATATGAATATGACAAAGTACAGTAATTTTTTGTTAGGGTACTGTTTTACACATCACTGTATTTCATGTTGCTGTATAAAAAATGTCTATTTACAAAACAAAAGTTGTTGTAAAAAATGTTACAGAATACTCTGTACTGTATTTTGGTGAATTGTAAAATGTTAGTGTTTTCTCCAAAAAAGTATGATTTTGGTATGTTTTATTCTCATTGACAATTAATCAACTCAACTTTCTTTAACTTTAAAGGTGTTCATTAATGTTTCTGCAGTATATGCATGTAGATGTTTGCTATGATGAAGCTTGCCTTGACTTGTGATTTACCCGTGTCTTTAGGGCAGAGCATGGCTACGGGTTGCTCTGATGGAGAAACGGCTGTCTGAATACATCGCCACAGCTTTGCGAGATAGCCGCACCACCAGGTCAGGCTGAAAGGGAAAAACTCAGTATTAATCAAACCACCAATATGATTCTTTCACGCAGTCACACCCAGGAATCATTACACATAACCAGTTTAAACATAACAATGTAGACAGCCATTATGAATGTTACACTGTCGAATACATAATATGGTGCATCTATAATGTGATTGTGTTTGTTTATGTATTGCATGTGTGTGTGTGTTTGTCTACAGGAGGTTCTACGATGAAGGTGCCATAATGTTGCGAGAAGAAGCAACTGTTTTGACCGGAATGCTCATCGGACTTGGAGCGATTGACTTTAGGTAAGAGGATGGGTAATGGAAGGGGTAATAAACTGAGGAATACAAAACACACAAGCTATGTTTCAAAACCATCTGAAATGGAACCTCGTAAGTGATTGATTTGGAATGTTTTACATAGGCAGGAACTCTGCACACCACACTCATGTAAAGCATATGATACTTTAATGCAGGTTTTGGAACCGAGCTATAATGTTATGCAATGTAATCAATGTTGTGTAATTCTTGCTGTTCTATGTTTGTTGTCAGTTTCTGTTTGAAAGGGGAGGCTCTGGATGGGAAGTCTGAGGCTGTTATTGACTACACTCCATATCTGAAATTTACACAAAGGTGAAGATCATTTGTTTCCTACAGTACAACACAGTTTCATACAGGGAATGGTGTGGGTTTCAATGTTTAGATTGTATTTATATCCCTCTATTCTAGGGGTGCACAATTAATCGTATTAATGATTATGCATAATCATTGGAAATATTCTACTATACCCTCTGGTTATTTATTCCGAAAACGTTGTTTTCATTTGACATTTCTGTTAACTGGCGTTGGTAGCACGCCTCCACATGCTTGGGGTTGCCAGATTTTAAGAGTTTAAATCCCCTAATTTCTCTTAAATGGATAAATTCTCTGCCCAGTGTTTTACTTAATCTTCCCATTCATTTTTTAGAGAAGCCTTTTACGGTTTTACAATTTTTTTTTGTAATGTAGAGAGTGTGTTCATGTATTTGATAAATATAATAAATCAGGATAGATGAGGAAAAAATAAACCCTTGTGTATTATTTGACAATCTCTTGACTTGTGCTTATGTGAAAGTGCAATAATTCTGATGTTAAAGAAATATCTCAAACGAAAACAATTGTGATTAATAATTGCAGTTATATTTTTGGAGCTAAATGATCATTATTATCAGTTGTAACCATTATTGTGCAGCCCTACTCTATACTAATGGAATGCTTGTTGTTCATATGGTTTCCTGAAAGAATACAATTTTTTTGTTAAACTGATTCAATTCAGAGTCATTTTGACCTTTTCATTAAAAAGAACTTGTTGCTCATTTCTGAATTTCTGTTAATCAGCCAGTTAGACACAGTTATTGGTTGGTGGTGATATTTTCACTTTAGTCAAATATTGGCCAATTAATCAGTTATCACTAATTATAACAATGTATAATCTGGTTATGTGGTCATTATCATAAAATAAACTCTGGATGAATAGGGGGATGATGACATGTGGTGCCAAATAGCTATTCCAACTTACTATGAAAAGAGAGACCATGGAGTAATACGAGACATTTGAAAGTAGTGCTTAGGGTCAGATTCATTACTATGGAAAAATATTTGACCGCTCAATGCTGCTCAAATTGACCAGAATCAAGTATACTGCTCTGTTGCCATGGCAATGAGATGTTGTGTTGTGTTTGGTTCAGTTATGATTATCTCAGTGACGATGAGGACGGTCAGAGTGTGGACAGCAGTAACAGTGATGACAGTGTCGAGCATCCATACATCCCTCTGGTCACCGATGAGGAGAGCTGGAGGAACAAGTGCCGCAAGATGGAGCAGAGGTTCAAGATCGTCAATGCGCAAAAGGTTAAACACACACAACAAAGCAAGAGTTCCTATAGTGGGTGAGTAACACTCAAATTAATCTGTCGTGCTAAAGTGTGTATGTTTTTATTATTTGTGTTCAGGGGTACCTTGAGGAGCTGGTAAGGCTGCGGGAATCTCAGCTGAAGAATGTGGAGATGGAGAATAAAAAACTAACAGCTGGACTAGAAGAACTGCAGCTGCAGAGCCAGAAAGAGAAGAGAGACCTGGAGAACATCATACTGGAGCTGCAGGAACAACTGTGAGAGAAACACACACACCACTGATTCTTGAGACGTGAAAGTTTATGAAATTATTTTGAATTAATCAGTTCAGACATATTCACCTATGTTTTGGTGAAACATTCTGCTTCTTCTACTTTTTCTTATCACTCAATATGTATCAAATCTGATTCAAAAACATGTACTGTAAAAATCAATATGTAAAAAAACACATGAACATGTCCAGCATTCATATTAATGAATGAATGAAAAAAAAATTGGTAACACTTTATTTTAAGGACTCATTCTCACTATTAATTAGTTGCTTATTAGTTATTAGCATGCATATTACTAGCACATTGGCTGTTTATTAGTACTTACAGTATAAAGCACATATTAATGCCATTTTGAATGAAAATATTTTAGATCCTTTGATCCTTTGATCCTACCCCATACCTAAACTTAACAACTAACTATTAATAAGCAGCAAATTAGGAGTTTAGGCAAGAGTCGTAGTTAATAGCTAGTTAATAGTGAGAAATGGTCCCTAAATTGAAGTATGACCAAAATTTCTTTACAATTTATGTGACTGTTTATATTTCATGATTATGTCAAAAAATACTACTACTACTATAAATCACACCAGAGCCTTGCTAAATTCAGAATAAGTGTAGTATAGAAAGAGCACTTTCAGAAGGACAGAAGATTTTGATATATCCTGATTTTTGTTTTTAATATAAATATCTGATCATGTTAACTAAAACGATTTATTTTAAGGATTTCTTATAATATTATATAAGGTATTATAATTTTACGTTTCATGCATATGTTTATCTATATGACGTATTAATTTATGGTCTGAGGACAGGTGGTTTTAGGGGTTGTGATAGATGATGTAATGCCATAATTGTAATAAAATAAGAGTAAATACACTGAAAAAATGGTAACATAATAATGGTAAATAAACTATCTTAAGTCCACCAAAACTACTTCATATTGGATAAATCATGTAGAAATAGCTCTTTGAAGTAACAATTGCAGGTTGGCACTGCAAAAGCAGTCACATTTTGCATTTAGAACATTCTAGTGATCATCTCTGATTCATTTCAAAGTGTTGCTATTTTAAAAGTAATGTCTGCTAAAAACAGTGGCATATACAGTATCTCAAGAATCTGTGACACACATGTACATATGTTTTTGTCTTCAACTGTATCGCAGGACAAGTCTGATTCCAGGCGAATCTCATCCCCTCTCTAAGGATTTGTCAATCCCTCTTGTTAACCAATGGCCATCTCTCCAAAACTACAACAACCAGGAGGACAGGAAACTGTACCACAGGTGATTAGCGGCTGCTTTTCATATGGGCTAACAACTTACTCAAAATCCCAGTCATTAGCCGACCAACTTGAATATTTCTTCTTTCAACTTGAAAATTCAACAGCAAATACTCTTATGCTGTTGCTGTGGGTCTGTTGTTGTCTTTTAGGGGTAGTTTTCCAAGCCCGGAACCACATATAAGCTTAACCACAGATTCTCAGAGGACAGAAAGGAAACAGAATGGAAAAGCCTGGTGCACAGCAGGTACACCTTAAAATCCACCTACAACAAGCTGAATTTGGTACTGTAGCTTTGTTTTGACTTAGCTGTCAAGTTCAAGCTGGTTTGGGTGGTTGATCAACTGAGCTAATAGGTGTAAGGTGGTTAAGCAGGTTTGTGAAGCATGGTAGCTAGTTTGTTGCTGGACCAAGATGGTGTACCAGCACTGTGTGCCCAAAAGTTTAACGTTGACAGACTTTTGACTATCAGTATGAGGTGTGGTCCTCTTTACAGCTTATTCTAGCAGGAACTACTCACTTAGACAGGAAGAGACTGACTTACCATGTTGTGTTTACATACTGTTTGGTGTCACATTTACATGGAATGGTTGTTAATACAGTAGACTGGCATGGAAAAAACAGACTAGTTACCCATCATGGTAGTCCAGCTGAACAACCACCTAAACCTGCTTTGACAAGCCATTGACCTTCTAAAAACCAGCTACTATGTACAGCTACCACTTCAAACCATGAAATCACAACTGACAACTCCTATTTTTTATGGAACGTTGAAGTGTTATTTTTTTTTTTAAATAAATGAACTATCCATGCACATCATTATTATTTTTTCATGTGCCCTCATAAATATCTTTCTCTCCCCCTCCAAAAATATATTGGCTGCATCTAAAATCGCATAATCTCTGAGTAGTTTCTTCTTTTGAATAAATACTTTGCGACCACTAAAAAAAGAATGTTCTGTATATGATTGTGTGTAGTGTAAATGTAATCCTGACAAACTACATTCACCATGTTGTTACTGTCACATGACCTACCAGCATCAGTTGTGTCACTTCACTGCCATTCATAAATCCTCTCCTGTAGCCTCATGGGATAGTAAAGTGTCTATCTGATCAAAGTCCCTTTAAAGGGATAGTTCACCCAAAAATGAAAATTTGATGTTTATCTGCTTACCCCCAGGGCATCCAAGATGTAGGTGACTTTGTTTCTTCAGTAGAGCACAAACAAAGATTTTTAACTCAAACCGTTGCAGTCTGTCAGTCATATAATGGAAGTGAATGGGAATCATGGCTTTGAGAGTCAAAAAAACATACACAAACAAAACCAAAATAAACCCTGTGGCTCGTGACGATACATTGATGTGTAAAGACACGAAACAATCAGTCTGTGCAAGAAACTGAACAGTATTTATATCATTTTTTACCTCTGATTCACCGCAATG